TTTATTTTATTTAACTCTTTAATGTATAATAAAAAAAGTAAACACTTCGTATATTTGCATAGCTATTGAATGACAATCTGAAATCTTTTTGTTTTCTTAAATTTTACAGTTGAAGGAAACAATTGTAAAGATAGATATTTTGTAAAAGATTAAACCTTAATAAAAGCCAAATTATTCATAGGATAAATTCATCTAAAAAAAATATCTATTTTTTTCTAAACATTATTATTTTTCTTTTCTTACAGGTTGAATATCATAAAAATCTCACAGAGCAATATATGACAAAATTCAAAGAAAATAAATATAAATTTGTTAAATATTTCAATTACGATGATGATATAACTGAAGGTGAAGCACGTCAACAAGCTATGTATGTTTTAAATTGATTCTTTTTTGTTTTGCTTTTCAATCAACGAAAAATTTTTGCAAAAATTCTTTTAGCACTGAATGTCAAGAAGATAAATGTGATTATTTATTTGTAATTGATTCAATAGTTCATATTGATAATCCTGATACATTAATTAAATTAATCTCACTTAATCGAACAGTTATTGCACCAATGCTTTTAAGACCAGAAAAAACATGGAGTAATTTTTGGGGAGATTATGCAGAAGATGGATTTTATAAACGATCGCCAGATTATATGGATATTATTAACTATCAGAAAATGTATGTTATTAGGTCTTCTATAATTTAATCTTTTTTTGTTTTTATTCAGAGGTTTATTTAATGTTCCACATGTAGCTCATTGTTATTTAATAAATGGAACATTTTTAAAAACTTTTACACCGAAATATATTGATGCAACTACTGATCCAGATTTGACATTTTGTCAATCATTGAGAGCTGCTGTAAGTAGACCCTATAGTGCGAAATATTCATTCATTTTTCAGTTACTTAAAGACAATTGGTTAGAGTCAAAAGCAGTTAATTAGCATCAAGCTCTTTCCAAATATGTGTCAGAATTTCTTTCTGAAGTAAGATTATTTCAAAAGGTCCGACATGGTGTTTGCACAGAATACTATTTTGGGTCAATTTTATATTTTGATTGAAACTTATTAAATTCAAAATGTGCAATAGTTCTGAGGATCATCTATCAGAATTGATGAACTTAAAAGTTTTAATAAAACTGCTTGGATGAGAATGTCACGTTTGACGCTTTGGAATCTTCTATAAATTGGATACAGTTCGATGTGAACGAAGTTCATGAAGAGAGGCGAGGCATCTCATTTTGCTCCATAAATTAAAACCGTTTACAAAAAGCTTCAAATAGATGCCAGAAAATAGATTTTGGGAGACTTGGTTTTCCAGACATCCTTATTCAAACAGTTTTATTGGAGCTTTTTGTGTCTTACACAAATAACGAAAAATTCTGATTCTGACTTTAACCAGTTGTCTTCTAGTGGCTGAAAAATAAGCGAATATTTTGTGCCAAGACTTTCGAACAATATTTAGGTTATTTATATATTGATTATTTATTCGTTTTTAAAAACCTAGGAATATTTTATTTATTTAAATAATGAAATAAATTATGGACATTTAATTGATCCAGATAATTTTAATACTTCATTAATTCTACCTGAACTTTATGAAATCTTTAATAATCCTAAAGTAAGTTTATACATATATATATATATATATCATAAATATAATTCTTATTGAATTTTTAATTTTCTTCAGGATTGGAAAGATCGTTATATTCATCCAGATTATTATAAATCTCTTGAACCAAATTCAACACTTCAACAAGTAAATAACATAAATTTTTGTATTTATTTTATTGTTTTCTTTTTTTTTTCAAGCCATGTCCAGATGTATTTTGGTTTCCATTCTTAACAAATCAATTTACTCAAGATTTAATTTATCTCATGGAAAAATTTAATCAATGGTCTGGATCATCTCATGCTGTAAATTTAAAATAAAAACTCAACAAAGAAAAAACAACCCATATTTTTGATTTGTTCTATTAAGGATCGACGTATATCAGGTGGTTATGAAAATGTTCCTACAGATGATATTCATATGACACAAGTAGATTATAATGATCATTGGTTATATATTCTACAAGAATTTATTCAACCAATACAACAAAAAGTCTATAGTGGTTATTATAGTGATGTAAGTTGAATATGAATATTTATTTTGAAAAAAAGTTTTTCTTTTTTAAAATAAAATAGCCTCCAAAAGCATTACTTAATTTTGTTGTTCGATATATGCCTGAATATCAATATAAACTTCGACCACATCATGATGCATCAACATATACAATTAATATAGCATTAAATGATGTTGGAAAAGATTATGAAGTAAATAAATATAAATAAAGATTTTTTATTTTTGAAAAATTTTTATTTCAAAGGGTGGTGGCTGTCGATTTATTCGTTATAATTGTACAGTAAACGCAACACGTCGTGGTTGGACATTAATACATCCTGGACGTTTAACTCATTTACATGAAGGTTTACCAACACTAAAAGGAAAACGATATATTATGATTTCATTTATTGATCCTTAGAGAAACCACAATACAAAAGTATTATTTAGTCATTTTTTAACAATTATTATGTGTGTGTACTGCTTTTGCAGTTATTAATTTGTTTTGTTTTTGCATACACCTATTGGTGCTATTTATACTCATTTTTATAGACTTATTCTCTTTATTGTTTTGTACTAGTCGACTAAAAAAGTCATTTTTCATATGTTTTGTTTGCATTTATAATCTAAACGAACAATTATCTAAAATTCGTTTCTTTTTTTTTATTTGTGTGAAGTGTGTATTGACTTATTCTTTTTGTTTTTTTATATTCATAGAAATCAAAACTTCGTTGTTTTACATGTATTGAATACATCAAACAATGTATGTTTATTTGTTTTTCTAGATATTTAAATGTCAACTACAACTGAAAGTTCATCGTTTCTTTCAAATACATTAAAACGTCGTCAACAAAAACGACATGAAGCTACTAAAATCTTACAAGAAGGTATTAGTTCGCTTCATCTTTCATCAATATCCAATGAACAACAACAACA